ACAGACAGCTGCTAGAAATATGGATGCTAGGGGCGATTCCGATGAGGTCTCTGATGATAATGAGGAACATTATTGGAAACTGGAGGAAAGGCAATCCTTGTCATAAAGTGGCAAATAACTTAGCTGGAATGTGTTTTGTAGAGGACAAAACTTGCAAGAGATGAAATGCAGATCTCTAAGCAAAGTGAAGGAGTGGTTTCGTTCCTCCTGACTGCTTATAGTAAAATGTGAAAGGAGAGACTAATTGAAAAAGGAATTGTTGAGCAAAAAGAAACCAGAACATGAAGATTTGGAAAATTCACAGTCTATCCATACTGTGGAAAAGGTGAGGCCAGGTGTGGTGGCTCATGCCTGTAATCCCAGCACTCTGGGAGGCTGAGGCAGGTGGATCACCTGAGGTCAGGAGATCGAGACCAGCCTGGCTAACACGTGAAACCCTGTCTGTACTAAAAATACAAAAATTAGCTGGGCGTGGTGGTGCAGGCCTGTAATCCCAGCTACTCGGGAGGCTGAGGCAGGAGAATCACTTGAACCCAGGAGGCAGAGGTTGCAGTGAACTGAGATTGCATCGCTGCACTCCAGCCTGGGCGACAGAGCGAGACTCCATCTCAAAATAAAAAAAGCGAAAGCTTGTTCTAAGAGAATACCAAGGGGGTGGCTAAACAACTGTTTGATAAAGAGAAGAGGGTGATAAAGAGAAGAGGGTGTGACTTATGGACTCATTCAGCCATCTCAGCAGAAGTCAGGTATAAGAATGGAATTATACCAGCAAAGACATTGCCAGTTTGAATTAAAAGGGACAAAGTGGGACAAAATGAAGGAAGGCTACTGAACTTGGTTGGATTCTACAGGACTAGCCCACAGAGCTATTTGGCCATGCACATGTACAATTCTTCAAGGAAAGGGAAGAATGACCCTGAAAGTGATACAGAAACATCAGGGCTGCTTTTCCCACCAAAGGCCCAGTAGGCAAGGCTGTTCCATCCTCAATTTCAAATGGTGAAGCTGCTTCTTTAGATCTGGTAGGCCAGGATAACCATGACCAGTGCCTCAGTACTGGGCCACTACGCAGAGCCGTGGTAGTGATGCTGCCACCCCAGTGGGCTTGCAGGGGAGAGTATCAAACCAAAGGGCCAAAGATTTAATAGAATTTGACTTGCCAAGTTTTGGAATTGCTTGGGATCTATCACTCCTTCCTTTCTTCTGAATTTTTCCTCTTAGAATGGGAACGTCTGTCCTATGCCTGTTCACAGTTGTATTTTGGAAGCATGTAACTTGTGGTTTCACAGGTTCACAGCTGGAGAGCCTCGGGGCAAATCATACCTTGACTCTTACCCATATCTGATTTAGATGATATTTACATGAGACTTTGGATTTTAGAGTTGATGCTGTCATAAATAAGACTTTTGGAGCTGTTAGGATGTGTTTTCCATGCTATAAGCACAGAAATTCTGAGGCAAGGTAGATTAGAGGTAGAGTGCTATGGGCTAAATTATATGCTCCCCACCACCAATTCATATGTTGAATCCTTAACCCCCAAAGTGAGACAGTACCTACAAAGAGGTAATTAAGGTTAAATGAGGCCATAAGCATGGGGCTCTAATACAATCAAACTGGTGTCCTTATAAGAAGAGATACCAGTGCATAGGCTCCTCCTCCTACTCTCTTCCTCTCTCCCTCCCTCCTTGCCACATGAGGACACAAAGAGAGGTGGTTGGCTGTGTGCCAGGAAGAGAGCCCTCCCCAGAAAGCAAATAAGCTAGAACCATGATCTTGAATTTTTTGGCTTCCAGAAATGGGAGAAAATAAATTTCTGTTGTTTAAGCCATATAGAATATGGTGTGTTGTTATGCAAACTGAGCCAACTGAAATAGCACACGAAGTTAGTGCTCTATGGCTGCAGTGGATTTGGTGTTTAAGGAGGAGGGGCGGTGTCCTTTGGGTTTCAAATTGCTAAATTCTACCACTGACTTTTTTTTTTTTTTTTTGAGATTGTCTCTGTTGCCCATGCTGGAGTGTAGTGCCTCAGCTTATTGCAATCTCTGCCTCCTAGGTTCAAGCAGTTTTCCTGCCTCACCTCCTGAGTAGCTGGGATTACTTTTGCTGGCCACAATGACCGGCTATTTTTTTTTTTTTCAATTTTTAGTAGAGACCGGGTTTCGCCATGTTGGCCACGCTAGTCTTGAACTCCTGACCTCAGGTGATCTGTCCATCTCGGCCTCCCAAAGTGCTGAGATTATAGGGGTGAGTCACCATGCTTGGCCTACCATTCACTTTTGTTTGCAACATTTTAAAGAACTTTTAGTCTTTTCAATAAACAGTTACACCTATTAGGCTATTCTAAATTCCCGTAGTATGGGAAGGGATATTTTAAGAAGACAAACAGAAAAAAGTTGTTTGTGTGGGCCAACTGTTAGTCTCTTTTGCTTATCTCTGCAAAGGCAGGTTTCACAGAGCCCTAGTAGCTTATTTCTCTAAGGTTGTACAATCAACTGGGCACTTCCGGAAATACCAGAGGGTCTTAAAAGAGACATTTATATTTAGCATTTAGTGTAAAATATCCTTTCCCAAACCTGCCAACAACTCCTACTATATAACCACTTGCCACCTGTTCTTTGGAGATTGGTTTTGCGTCATTACAAGCAAAGAAATCAATACCAGACCATTGATTTGGGAAAGAGACAAGATTGCACGGCAATAATACATAAAGTTAGTCAAGCCCTACTTCTCAACTGTTTTCAAGGAACAGATAGTTCAATGTGCCTTTTGAAACAGGTACTCATCCTGCATTGGTGATTTTGCAGCAATAAGGGCCCAAGATAGATAAGGCATCATAACCCCGATTTATATAACAGCTCTTGAGTGCTATACAGAATCTCAAAATGCCTTTTAAAACTCAATAGTAATGTATTAACTTGAATCCAGATCCCCTCCTTACAGTTTATCCCTCAGTTGGATTTAAAAAGTGTGGGCTGGAGCACAGGGTTACTCTGCCAGTGACATCAGTCAATCAGCCGGTGTAGATACTGCAACTGCAGAGGGTAGCAGCTAGCTGAAGGTCTGTTTCAAACACACATTCTGTCTCGATAGACAGGTAAGGCCAATGGTTTACCTTATCCATTAACGTACTAAGATCCCATCTGGTCTTTCTAAGCCAAATTAACATGCAAAAGTCATTTAGATATGTTAATTGGTTTTGAACCAGTGAATAGAATTAGTAAAAAGGGACTATGGGAATGGAGAACATTATCTTAAGTTTACATAGGGCTTTGTGTTTTTCAAAAACTTTTCATAAGCATTATCTCACTTGATCCTCCCCTCACTGTAAACATCTGAAAGAGGAGGAAACTGAGGCTCAAAGATTGTTACACTCTTAAAGTAACCTAGGGAAGAAGCTAATGATGTCAAGAGTTTAGCTGTGGTGAAGAAGCAGGTTATCTGAAATAAGTAATCTACATGTAAGAAATTGATAAGTGACAAAATGGACAAAATGTAGCTACGAAGCCAGAAATATTTCTGTTTAAAACTCAGCTCTACTACTTGCTAGCTGTGTGATCCTAACCAAGTCAGCTTACGTCCTGGAGCATCATTTTCCTCACATGGCACATGGAGAAAAAGATCTTAATCTCGTAAAGTTGATGTGAAGATCAAATTACATAACAGAAATAGAGTTCCAGGCATATCAATAAATATTAGTTATCCTTCTCTATAAAAATGTTTCTCTAGGGAGCACAGGAGTTACAGAGCAGAGGTAGACAAGCATCTCTTAGCTGGTAGAGACTAAGGTCAGAAACATAAGCCAGGTATGGTGGCTCATGCCTGTAATCCCAGCACTTCAGGAGGCCAACGCGGGAGGATTGCTTGAAGCCAGGTGTTTGAGACCAGCCTGGGCAATATAGCGAGACCACTATCTCTACCAAAAACCACAATCAGTCGTGTGGTGGCACACACCTGAGGCTGCAGTGAGCTATGATCATGCCACTGTGCTCCAGCCTAAAAAAAAGACAGAAACACGCAGTGAAAAGTACACAACAGATGTCATATTTATAGGCAGCCCTCGCAAAGAGCAAAGCTCAAGGGTTACCTACTTTTTTTTGAGACAGGGTCTCACTTTGTTGCCCAGGCTGGAGTGCAGTGACCTGATCATGACTCACTTCAACTTTGACCTCCTGGGCTCAGATGATCCTCCTACCGCAGCCTCCATGGTGGTTGGGATTACAGGCGTGAGCTACCACATTTGGCTAATTTTTTTTTTTTTTTTTTTTTCATGTAGAGACAGGGTTTTACCATGTTGCCTACGCTGGTCTTGAATTCCTGGGCTTAAGCTATCCACCTGCTTTGGCTTCCCAAAGTGCTGGGATTATAGCCATGAACCACCACACCTGGCCAGGAAAAAGACGTCTTTGGCCAGGTGAGGTGGCTCACGCCTTTAATCCCAGCACTTTGGGAGGCCAAGGCAGGTGTATCACTTGAGGTCAGGAGTTCAAGATCAGCCTGACCAACATGGTGAAACCCTGTCTCTACAAAAATACAAAAATTAGCCAGGCATGATGGTAGGTGCTTGCAATCCCAGCTACTTGGGAGGTTGAGGCAGGATAATCGCTTGAGCCTAGGAGGCAGAGGCTGCAGTGAGCCGAGACTGTGCCATTGCATACTCCAGCCTGGGCAACAAGAGCAAAACTCTGTCTCAAAAAAAAAAAAAAAGACTTATGTGACTTCTAGAGTTTGAGTTAAGGTACCTCCAAGATCCCATAGAATTCTTGTTTACTTCTATCTTTGCATGCAGTATACTATTGTAATTCTGTTAATTTACATGTCTGTTTTCTCTAAATAATAAATAAGCCCCCTGCTTAATCCAGTATCTGGTAAGAGGTTGCTCAATAACTTGCTGAATGGAGGAATGAAGGAAAGAAAGGAGAAAAGCAGAATGAATCTATCCCAATAACAATATACCGGTTAAGACTTAACATGAGATTTAGAGATTTATAATATTATCTTACCTTGACTGCATAGTTATTAAGTGGATCTTTTGCATATGAAGCAGTATAGTAAACTGCATCACCTGCCTCACAACATGGTTTGTCGCTGGTCAGCCTGAAGTCTGACCAGCTGTCCACTCCAAAACGGAGCTGGTCTTTCTGCCCAGCCATGAAAAGGTCTTCACATTTAATAGCCAGTTTCTTCAAGGCATCTGTATGAAGGCTTCGGATTTTACCCACTACTTCCTCCCGATTCTCAAGTCCTCGATAAAGTGCTTGTCTCTGCGGCTTCTGGATGCCTCGGCCCTGTCTGCAAGAGGGCCCACGCCGGCTGGACAGGGATTCCATGCTGTTGGAAAATCTATCCTTAACACTGAGAGTGGTTAAGCTGGAAATGCTGTTTGCTGCTGAGGGGACAGGTCTCTCCTTGCGCAAAGGCCTTTCCAAGGAGTCATACGACTCAATGTCCAGTCCTTTGAGTTCATAGCTGATGGAAGAACCAGCACTGCTGGCATCCCAGTTGGGGTCGATATCATAGGTGGGATTAGCCATGACACAAAGACTACTTTCCATGGATTTTTGAAGGTCCTTGGAGATTGGCTCTGTATTAGCTCTTATGATCATCTTCTTTGGCAGTGGGGGTGGTGTAGGCTGGGAAGCACTGGATGTTTCTTGGTCTGTTTTCCCTCCAAAGGCAATGGCATCGTCCACAGCTCCCTTGGGCTGCCGTGGCTGCTTGGGAGGTATCATGGCTGCTCTAGATTGCCCTGTATTGTTTTAAAGAAATAAAAAGAAAAGAGTAAGTAAAATTTTAATCTCATCTTATAATTACAATTAGAGCAAAAATGAGTGACGTAGCCATGGGAATGCAAGAATAAGTCAACTCTTTAGTTCAAAATGGGAAAAGAGAACAAATACCTAAACATTGAGGGTATCCAAGCCTTGGTGAGAAGAACAAATATGCACAATATCTTGGCCCTGTCTAGGAAAAGGACAATGGTTTGGGTGAGGAGTTTTGTTTTCTTTCTTTCTCTCTCTTTTTTTTTTGAGACGGAGTCTTCCTCTGCCTCCAGGCTGGAGTGCAGTGGTGAGATCTCGGCTCACCACAACCTCTGCCTCCCAGGTTCAAGCCATTCTCCTGCCTCAGTTTCCTGAGTAGCTGGGATTACAGGCACACACCACCACGCCCGACTAATTTTTGTATTTCTAGTAGGGACGGGGTTTCACCATGTTGGTCAGGCTGGTCTCGAACTCCAGGCTTCATGATCTGCCCGCCTTGGCCTCCCAAAGTGCTGGGATTACAACCATGAGCCACCGCGCCCAGCCAAGGTTTTTTTTCAAAAAGGAATCCAGATTCTCCAGTCCTCCTCTTCAGAGTGCTGTATTTACCACACCAGAATATTAAGGAATGACAGACACTCAAATATACTTGCATTGTGACAGAGCAGAGAAGATAGCATTGTGGACAAAGAAAATACTTGGGAGCATTATTTCAAACAGAATTGAAACTAGCAATGGGACCATTAGACAGGGGCTCAGAAGATACTATTCTGTTCTTTTTATTCCAAAGTTACTTTGTATTGTATATAGCACTTGTCATGTATATAACATTTTCCAACACATGAATACAATTTCAAAAGTCATGCTATTTATTTTACTATAGAGATGGATTCTGACATTGCTTAAACTGGTCTACGTATAAGATTCCTGTGATTGTGGTAACGGGAACAGTGTATACGAGCAGTCAGCTTCTGTTCCAAACAATACTTCCCAAACTCTTGTGTGATTCTGTTTTATTTTGGTGGGCATACATATTGTGATTTGAGAGATATAATCTTTCAACATCTTTTATAAGCCCTAGTTAGAGAACCATTCATCTCTGCTTAGTTTCTAGCATTTATGATTAGAAAAAGATAAAACACATGTCTGTTTGAATACACCTGCAGGGCCTATTGTATAGTAGAGAGAAAACATTATTTTTTAAAGACAGAGAAATATACTATGAAACTTCCATAAAAACTATTAAAAATTAGTCATGTTATTAAAATGAGGCCTCTACTCAAGATCTCAGAGTCAGAACATAAGGCTCTGTTATCGGTTGAATTATATCCCCCAGAAAGGTATGCTGAAGTGCTAACTCTGGTACCTGTGAATGAGACCTTGTTGGAAGTCTTTGTAGATGTAATAGTTAAGATGATGTCATTAGTTTGGGCCCTAATCTAATATGACTAGTGCCTTACAAGAAGAAAAAACACCATATGAAGACAGGGACACAGGGAAAACACTACATGACATTGGTGGCAGAGGCTGGAGTGAAGCAGGTGCAGACTAAGGAATATCAAGGATTAATGGCCACTACAAGATGCCAGATGGAGGCAAGAAAGGAATCTACCCAGTGTCTCAGAGGGAACCCAGCTCCGCTGACACCTTGATTTCAGACTCCTAGCCTCCATAACTGCGAGAGAATACATTTGTGTTGTTTTAAGCCACCCATTTGTGGTACTTTTTTACAGCAGCCCTGGGAAACTCATACATTCTCCTACTGATGATCATGTAGAGTAGAAGGCGCTGGATGGTGCTGAAAATGATAATGGATGGGGTGGTGATTTGTTTTGTTAAAATCACGTCCTTGTAGCATGTCAATGATAAGCACCAATATAATCTGGGATTGTAATAGTAAGCACTGCTTATGATAGGGATAAGTTCTGAGAGAGTTAGGCAATCTCATCATTATGCAAAAATCATAGAGTGTACTTACATGAACCTAGATGATACAGCCTACTACACATCTAGGCTATAAGGTATAGCCTACTGCTTGTAGGCTACAAACCTGTACAGAATGGTACTGTACTGAATACTGTGGGCAACTGCAACACAATGCTAACTATTTGATATGGTTTGGCTGTGTCCCCACCCATATCTCATCTTGAATTCCCAAATGTTGGAGGCCTCCCCAGCCATGTGGAACTGTAAGTCCAATAAACCTCTTTCTTTTGTAAATTGCCCAGTCTCACATATGTCTTTATCAGCAGTGTGAAAATGGACTAACATAGTAAATTGGTACCAGTAGAGTGGGATGCTGCTGAAAAGACACCCAAAAATGTGGAAGCAATTTTGGAACTAGGTAGCAGGCAGAGGTTGGAACAATTTGGAGGGCTCGGAAGAAGGCAGGAAAATGTGGAAAAGTTTGGAACTTCCTAGAGACTTGTTTAATGTCTTTGACAAAAGTGCTGATAGTGATATGAACAATAAGGTCCAGGCTGAGGTGGTCTCAGATGGAGATAAGGAACTTGTTAAGAACTGGAGCAAAGGTGACTCTTGTTATGTTTTAGGAAAGAGAATGGTAGCAATTTGGCCCTGCCCTAGAGAACTGTGGAACTTTGAACTTGAGAGAGATGATTTAGGGTATCTGGTGGAAGAAATTTCTAAGCAGCAAAGCATTCAGATTGGACAGAGGAAAGTAAATAATAAATATGCCCGTTCAGCAAGGTTACAGGATACAAGATCAATATATGAAAACCAATTCATTTCTATACATTATCAACGAATAATCCAAATTAAAGAAGACAATTCTATTTACAACGCCAACAAAAAGGATAAAGTAATCAGAAATAAACCTAACAAAACTAGTGTAAGGCTTGTACCTTGAAAACTACAAAACACTGCTAAAAGAAACTAATAATCAAATTGAAAGATTCCCTAAATTGATCTACAGATTTAATGTAATTCCTATCAAAATTCCAGCTAGCCTTCTCACAGAAATTGGCAGGCTGATCCTAAAATTCATATGGAAATAAAAGAAACCTGGAGTAGTCAAAGTCTTAAAAAAGAATAAAGTTGTAAAAGTTATACTTTCTGATTTCAACTTATTATAAAGTTATAGTAATCAAGAGTATGTGGTACTGGCATAAGAATAGAAATATAAATGAATGAAATATATTTCAGAGTGCAGATGTGAACCCTTATATTTAAGGCCAACTGATTTTTGACAAAATTGCCAAAACAATTCAACAGAGAAAGAACAGTGTCAAGCAAAATAATGATACCGAATCCCTACCTCACACTATACATAAAAATTAACAAAAATGTATGAAAAATTAACCAAAAAACTCTTAGAAAAAAAGTAGGAATAAATCTTTGCAACCTAGTGTTAGGCAATGGTTTCTTAGATAATACCTAAAGTATAAGCAATGAAAGAAAAAATAGATTGGAAGTCAATAAAAATTATAAACTTTTAGGCTTCAAAGGACATCTTCAAGAAAGTAAAAAGACAACTCACAGAATGGAAGAAAATATGTTCAAATTACATATCTGATAAGAGACTTACATTCAGAATATTTAAAGAACTCTTTTGAAAAAGATAAATAACCCAAGTAAAAATGGGTAAAAGATTTGCATAGCTATTTCTTCAAAGAAAATATGTAAATGTTCAGTAAGCATGTAGAAAGATGTTCAGTATCATCACTCATGAAGTAAATGCAAATTGAGACATCACTTCACATCTACTAGCTTAGCTATAATAAAACACACTGGCAAGTGTTGGTGAGGATGTTGAGAAATTCAAATGCTTATATATTGTTAGTAGGAATCTGAAATGGTGCTGCCACCTTGGAAAATATTTTGGTAGTTCCTCAAAAAGTTAAACATACAGTTACCATTTGATTCAGCATTTTCACTCTTGGGTATATACCCAAGATAACTGAAAACATGTCCGCCAAAACCTTATACACAAATGTTCATAAGCAGCAGCATTTACAATAACCAAAAAGTAGAAACAAACCAGATGTCCACCACCTGATGAACGGATAAATTAAGTGTGGTATACTCATACAATTGACTATTACTCAGGCATAAGAAGAATGAAGTGCGGATGTATGCTACAACATGGAAAAACCTTGAAAACATTATGCTAAGTGAGAGAAGCCAGTAAAAAATGATCACATATTATATCATTCCACTTATATGGTATTTCTAGAAATATATAAAGGCATAGAGACAAAGCAGATTAGCAGTTGTCAGGGGCTGGGGGAAAGAGAGAATGGACAGTGACTGCTAATGCGTTTCTGTTTGGGATGATGAAAATGCTCTGAAATTAGACATAAGTGATGCTTATAAAATTCTGTGAATATACTAAAACTAATTGAATTGCACACTTTAGGAGGGTGAATTTTATGGAATATGAATTATATCTCAATAAAGCAAATCTACAATCCATTCTTAGAAACAACCTTCAATTCAGTTTTCAGTCATACCTTCTAATTCTTCTGTGCCCTTAACAAGGGATGCAGGGGCTTGGTATTTACTGAACATTTCCTGTGATAGTGAAGCCTCCTTCCAAAGCTGCCCTAGCCCTATTTTCTCCTGGCTAATGTGAGACGTCAGACCATGGTTTATTTACAAGATCACAGAAGTATGCTTTGTAATAAATCCTAATTTTTCAGTTGCTGACCCAGACCTTTCAGGGATGAAGCACCATAGAGAAGGTTAGAAGCAGGGAACTGCATCAGCTCAGGCCCTATCATCCTTGTCTGACAACTGTGATAGTCTTCTATTACCCATCTCCAGTTTTACCTCCCTCACCGCACAAGCCACTGGAGAGATGTTTTTCAAACACCAACGCTGATCATGATACTTCTCTGCTTTAAAAAATTCTGTCCTAAAGATCAAGTTTGAATCTTCAAGCACAGAAAGTGAGCCTTTCATGATCGAACCCTGGTATACCTGTTTCTCTTGTCGCATTTCCTCTTATATTCTAAGTCAGATCCAC